AACGCATTTTTTAGTTTGGCACCGCGCGCGGAGACAATGCCTGCATTCATGGCATGTTTACTGTCTAAGTTTGGGAAGGTATCTTTTTACGCATCACTATGAAGAACTGATTGCGGATATTCAGACAGAGGCCTATGATTTGATCCTTGAGATTGTTTGATAATATCTGCTTGCAGGCTTGGTGTTTATACGACACTTTGGCTCTTAGTGTAGTTGTCTAAGCCATTCTTACTGTGTCTGAACTAGCAAAGTGCAGACAGTTCAGCCTGTTGGACAGCGATATAGTCGACTCAGCTGTGTCCGCCCATTGTTTGACTATATGATAACCGTATCACTTTTTGGATGTTCGAAATAGTTGTGATGATTATTTATTCCGTGTAATATTTGTGTTGCATGGTGGCTGAGGACGATTTGCAGCGAAATTTGATTTCCCCTTGTCACTATAAATCGTCACTCCTCATTCATGCAACCCCTTGCTTGAGCCTCTTAATATGTATAATCAACTTTTCACAATGCTTTCCTGTCGCGGAAGCCGCAACATGAGCAATTTCAACGTAGGGACTCACAATTCTGCCTCCGCATTGCTTTAGTTTTCAGCACACGATTGGCGCTTTTACCCGTTAACACCAAACGATCTCAACCTCGTGTTAGTCAGAACTGCAATTTGGTAGCGATTCATCGTGGTGCCGCCAAATTGTAAAAGTCCCCTGCCCAAGTGTCTTACAGAAATCGTGGTTAGAGGTTTCACGCCTGATTAAGGTAGTGTGTGTTTAATGCATATAAATTAGGCAATGGAAATCAATTAAAACCGCTTGTAATTTTTTAGTGAGCTAAATATGTATGCAAAAGTATCAGGAGAGAATAAAATCGACCAAGCTAAGCTCCCATTGGTTCAATAAATGATGCTATTTGACCACTAATAATATTTGATAAATCCTATTCGTTAACATTATGAAGGAAATGGTTGGATAGACCGAAGTTCGACCTACTGAAAATTTGCAAGTAACTGGTTATTATCAATACGAACCCTCAAAGGGCCTCTCTGTGGACCTCTGCGGTACAAGAGGAAATGTGTTTGTCCTACAGCATTTTGATACTGCACCTGTGAGGGTCTGGTAATGCTCCTTGATATGGCAACCCACGTCATACTGTTCTAATGCTCACGTGAACTGGGCACTGGTTTTCGTTTACCGCACGATGTGTCACTACTCCTGGCAGTGCATCTTGATGTGTCAGCCCACGTCTATGCCATACTGTCCTAATGCCGGTGTGAGCTACTTTGTGTTTTTCGTTTACCTCACGGTGTGTTACTATTTCCGATAAGGTGCAGAGGATCGGGCTCGTCGATCCCACAACATTGCTCGGGTAATTCGCATTATTGTAGACACCGAATTCAAGCTCTTTCTTGCCAGTTGGTCTTGGGTCAGACATCACGCATTGGCGGATATAATTCGTGCTTTGTGCTCTCCTGACCACCATGCCGCAGCGCCGTCATGGGACTTAGCTGTACTGTCTTAGCCATCAATTTTAGGCCCTCCGCCTCTTCCTCGGACGCATTTTCCACGGTTTGTGTGTCAGGTGGTCGCAGTCGATGCGTACGAGAGCCGGTTTTCATAACGAATTACAATGAAC